TTCAAGCACAATGGAACAGAACATACACGAAACTCCAATCCCTACAAAATGCCCCAGATAAGAAACAAGAGATCATTAATAAATTCATCTCCCTGATTCTTGGCAACGGGAAACTAGGAACGGTTGAAAGAGAAAGACTGCGCTTACAAGACTGGTTAGTTATGCCCACATCAAATACCCCAAATCCCACCACTCCAACACAACCCACATGTAACAAACAACCTATCCCCCGTCACACTAAATGGAACAGATACCGCTCTATGAACTTTTCTATCAACCCACCTTAATCACCTACCACCGCACACCCCCCCCCAACCACCGCTCACCATCAAACATCACCCGAACGCACCCTCATCAATCGAAATACCCTCCCATCCTCCAGGTCTCATGCCCACACCAGAAACCCAACACACCCACGTCATTCACACTACACTAAATCCTAACACCGATTACCCATCACACTACTCCCCATCAAGATACACGGTCCAAGCCCCCGATAATAGTTTGGTCAACGGGTCATCTGCCTCCCAGATCTCTAGGGTTTAGAGTTTTTTGCTTCAGATGCTACTCTCAAGGTTACAGTCAGACGATACTTCCAAACAAACTACCAGTAATTCAGGGTTTGGGGTTTAGCTTCAGACATTACTTTCAAAGAAAATCGCTCCAAAGGAAACTGAAATTAGAGCAAGGAGGCCCGTCACACCCTCCGCACGAGTAAAGCAGAGTCACACCATAGGCTCAATTGACAGAGAGGAGCAGTCAGAAAAAAGACCGGATAGTTCCAGCGAAGTCAAGTAGCTATCACTCATAGCTTCTAAGGAAAAAAACAGCCTAGACTTCGCTTTACTCGTGCGGAGGGTGTGACGGGCTAACTTAAACCACCAGTACCTCGCCCAGCTATAGAAAAAAGTCGCAGCCGTTAACGCGCCACGACTTTAGGGGGTCGGGGAGTTGAAGGACCGGTAGGAGCTGTTTTTCCTTAGACATCAAAATAACCCAAAAAAATGAAAAAAAACGAGATAGTAAGATAGCACTTCAAAAAACAAGAAAAAAAAAAAAAAAAAAAAAAAAAAAAAAAAAAAAAAAAAAAAAAAAAAAAAAAAAAAAAAAAAA